TCTGCATTTGCTTCTTGTTCTTAAGGTTGAACAAGCAATTGAGGAACTGATTCTACATTTGATGTACTTGGAGTCATTTTTTGTACTTCGTTTTTTTATTGAAATTGACCACATCATTGATCATCTTATCAATTTCAGTTGTGTCCATGTCAGTGATTTGCATTCAATACTTGGATAGGTGAAATCCTGTGCAACATCTTGGACTTGCTCATTCAGAATTTGAATGCCAAAGATATCCTAACTATCACCTTGAGTGTCAAAGTGTTCTTCATTTGTATTTTGGCTTTCCCTTTCTTCCTGAAATTTGGTTTATCAGAATTAGTTTTCTAGTTATAGAAAATCGTATGCCACATCAATTTATATAAAAGATTCACACAAAAACTAGATAGAATTATTTTACTTTTTTTTTTGGGATTATATTTTGTTTGTTTGGTCTTCATTTTGCTTTTGGAGCTGCTCTTGGCTTTGTCTTTTCTTCAACCATAAGGACAGTGTCATTGTATCTCATCATCATCTTCTGTTTGATCATCATCTTTTTCCAGCCCCTCTGAAACTATTCTTTCATCATCATCATCTTCCCTTTAAACGTCATCATCTTCACTTTAAACGTCATCCCCTTCCATCCCTCTGATATTGTTCTTTCAACATCATTATCATCATTTTTTTTAATAAGCTGATCATCTTCTGCAGGTTCTGCATGTTCCTCAACAACTTGTTCTTCTGCATGTTCAAGTACCAATTGTTTTGCTACTTTAGCTTTCTTGGCTTTTGGCTCCTCTTTGGTGACTTACTTATCAAATTTCCTCTTTTTTTGATGCAGGTAGAGGCGACAAAATCATCATCATCATATTTTGAGCTTTGTTCAATTAAATCCTCAATTGGTTTTACATTGTCCATCTGTGAAAGTTATAATTTTTTATACTTTTTTTTTTTTGGAATAACTTTACAAATCAGTTCATACATGTAGAATCAGATCACACACAAAGATACATGTAGAATCATATCACACACAAAGGTACATGCAGAATCAATTTTACATAATATAAATCAATTTGCTTTTTTCTGCAATGTCTATTTGTGGATAATAAGAGTTAATGTTTAATACCTTTTCTTTGGAATAAATATGCAAAATCATTTTACACACACAAATTACATGCAGCATCATGTTACACACAGTACATGCAGAATCATTTTTCACACAAAGTGCATGCAAAATCATTTTTACACACAAAGTACATGCAGAATAATTTTTACCTCCAAATTTTCATTTGCGTCTTTAAGGACTTTACTATGCAGAACTAAAAAATCCCATTTGACTGTTGTTTGTAAGCTTTTGTCATTTCCTGGTTTTGATTTGATGATTTGTGTGTGACCACAAATCCAATATTGTAGAAAAAAGAAAAGATTTTGATTAGAATTTGCATCTCTTGGAAAATAACATAGAAGCTGATTTTTATGAGTTTTTGTTTGCTTACCATTAAAAGTACAATAGTGCCATTGACGGTTGGTTGTTTGTCTTTTTTCCTCTTTTGTGCTCTATCAACTGCTATCATTAGGTACATCGCTGTTTTTTTCGCCCAGTTGTACTGATTTATGTTTGCGATGCAGTTACAAGTCTTGGCCAAACTCCAAGATAGTTTCCCTGCCAAGCTCCCAAGAAGCATTTTGTTGAGCAAAAATTAAATGATGAGGCAGGCTGCATCTTCATTTCTCTCATTTGTACCAGTAGTAGATACAATCGAATGCAACTTTGAATGTATTAGAAATTTACTTTCTGCCAATTCTTTTCATATCTGAGAAGTATTTCTCAACAAATCTGTTTTCTCCTACCTTTGGAATTCTTGCGTCTCTTGTTGACTGAGAGGCTTGTTTCCCTTAGTTTAAGATCTTAAATATGCGTTGGATATCATCAACATGTGCTTGACTATATCCATTCTTGAATTTGAACATTCTTTTTTCAGTGTTATACCAGTTCACTATATATATGATATCCCAGTCTGATTTCCTTATTTACAATTCACCTTTTACGTATGCTTTTAAAAGCGTAGCAAAAGGTGACTTATATATGAACGTCAAGACTTCTGGATTTTCCCCAAATTTTGTCTTGAGCTCCTGTATTTTTCTGTAAAGGCCAGGAGATTCAATCTTATCAGAGCATGGCTATCATCAATTGTCCGACGCTTTATAGCAGGAGGTTTTTGAGACGCTTTCTTTTTCGTTGCTTAATGTTTCTCTTGTGGCGGCATCTTCATAAGAAAAATGGAATGGTAATTGGTAATTATTAATCAAAACTATGAAGTCGTTGAATGACAAACTGACTATCCAATATGTAGATGCAGAATCATTTAATATAGATGGTAGATGCAGAATCATTTAACACACAAGGTAGATAGAGAATTATTTGACACACAAGGTATATGCAAAATCATTTGACACACAAGGTAGATGCAAAATCACTTAGCACACAAGGTATTTATGTGCATAATCAATTTATACACAAAAATAGTAGCAGAATCAATTTACACACAACTGGTACTAGCAAAATCAATTTACACACGACAGGCAGGTGCAGAATCAACTTACACACAACAGGTAAGTGCAAAATCACTTACAAACAACAGGTAGGTGTAGAATCACTTTGGCATAAAAAGATCTTGGAAACACTAAAATGTATATTCAAAATAATTTTATAGACAAAAGCTAGACGGATAATATATGCTTTTACTCACAAAAGGTAGACACATAACCATTTATATCCAGATGTAGTTGAACAATCACTTTACACATGAACTATAAAAGCGAAAATGATAATGCATGCATACGAAATTGCGTTTCACAGAATTCGAAAGTGTTTTTTTGCAAATACAAACTATAAATCTAAAAATGATTATGCAAAAGACCATTTTTTAGTAGCAGGTACCATGTTTTTGCAACAGAGTTGTCACTGAACTTCTACAAATTCACCTAAAGTCTATGTATTACTTACTGAAAGCATTTAACATATTGGAATCTATGAAATTTTTAGGGTTTTTCTGGGAAGATTTTTAAAACGAGAGAGTTTCGTAATGATTTTTTTTGGATAAGTTGAATGAAAAACCATCAGTTCATGGTTTTGAATATGGCAGATGGTTCGTTTTATGAGTTTTTGTCATGTAGCGGTTAATGTAGGTCGTTTGTTAACAGTTATAATGCAGGGGCAGGGGTCGGAATTTGCTCAGTCCAAATTACGGTCCATTTCTTTTTGGTTTGGGCTTGGTTTTATGATATTCAGGTTTTTTTGTCTCTCATTATAATGTTTAAAAGGTTGTGGAGTTGTGTGAAATATGGTATATGTTTGTGTCTCTATAAGTAAGGCTCCCTTTATTTATTGATTTACTATAACTCAAAAGAAATTGTATTTTACAACAATACTTGTGAAAACTACATATTTTTCAAGAAAGTTATGTTAATTTAGTTTTAAGTGTTAACTAGCATAAAAACCCCAATCTTATTTGAAAATGCATGAAAAACATTAGTGCATATGACACATTACTGCAGTAGCAGAAAGTAATTATACTTCCCTTTTTTTTTTTTTTTTTTTTTTTTGATAAACAAATAATATATTAAATACTAAAACATCTAGTACAACCACTAGCCCCAGAGTCGAATCTAAGGATAGTCAAAGCCTTAGGGGGTAACCAGTAATCCCAGAAGTAAGGGTTCACAAGAGAAAAACCAACTTGAGCAAGAGCATCAGCAACAAAGTTTGTCTCCCTAAAAATATGATGCCAAGAAATCTCGACAAATTCTGAGCATGTAATAAATTGACATTGAACTCGTTATCAATGAGATTTGAACTTAAAACCATTTAGAAGATTTAAAATCATTCACATGGTGAAGAGAATATGAAAAAATTTGTAGAAAATATAGTGCTACAAACAAGTACTATAGTTTGACTAATTCTTCTCCAATTCAAACTACTAACAATTTGCATTCCATTTAGTCATTAACCGTTGTAGTTGAAAATAAGCGAACTTAATTTAGAAGATATCTTCTTGGTATTTACCAATAATTGTTGTAGCCAAAACAAACAATAAATAGAAAAACCAATAACCGAGCAAAGATTTCACTACAAAAGAAACCAATCCTAATAATAAAAGGAGAGTATAAGTGTGTTTGCAAGTGGAGGAAGATTAATAGAATTTTGCTTACATGGGTTGCTACATTTTTGTGGCACCCACTGTTTTTTGGGACTAGATGTAGACCGATTTTATGCTACTTAAGAAAGAAAGTTGCTAGCCCCAATGGTGGATCTAGCTCCATTTTCCGGCTTATTGGAGATGAAATTTCTCGTTAGGATTGGAAATGTAGTAGCCTCATGAAGGATAAAGCCCCCATTAGGGATGCTCTAAAAATTAAATTCCTGAAGATTCATTTCATTCCCTAAATCAATTAATTCATTGCGGTTGGTTGGGACCTCTCAAACACATGTGTTTATTACCCCCACGTTAATTTTTTTTTTTTAACAGATAAAATGTTAAAATCTTCGTTAGAGAGCTATTTAATACTATAATCTAATAATATTTCTCTTCATTTGCAAGTGACAGGTCTTAGATTTGATTCTCATGAAAGAGAAATTTGAATCACATTATTATTAGTTCATTATGAAATTAAGACCAAACAAAAAACAAAAAACAAAAATTAAAACCCTCCGTCAAGAGCCGCAGAGTCACCCGCGACCAGAAAATCACAGTACAGCTAACTATAAACACCGACACTCTAACTCCCCTCGCTTTTCAAGGAATCTTAGTTTAAATACCCGATCCTCATCCAACATCTCCTACCCCACCCCTCCTCCCAAATCTAAATCTGCACCGTCCAATCACACAGACCAAAAGTACCAAAACCCCCAAGTCCTCAATCGTCATCCCACGTCTCAATTTTTCAGATCTGAGAGAGAAAGTGAGGTAGTGTTCCAACTGTTTGGGTGCTTGAATTATTTTATTCCCATTTTGCCCTCGATGGTGGAGGCACAGACATGGACGACGCGTCGTATGAGCAACCCGCGGCTGCAGGACACGACGTCCACCGACCAGGTGGTCGACATTCCGGCCACTCCTCCCGGCGACGTCCGCAACGGGACGAGCTACGGGTTCTCCTCCGCCGTCGGATCCCTCCTCTCCCCGACAATATCGACGGCGGCGATTATTGCATCCTGGTACCTGTCGAACATCGGCGTCCTCCTCCTCAACAAGTACCTCCTCAGCTTCTACGGCTTCCGCTACCCGATCTTCCTCACAATGCTCCACATGATCTCCTGCGCCGCCTACAGCTACCTCGCCATCCACCTCCTCGAGATCGTGCCACGTCAGCACATCCTCTCCCGCCGCCAGTTTTTCAAGATCCTCGCACTCTCCGCCATCTTCTGCTTCTCCGTCGTTTGTGGCAACACCTCCCTCCGCTACCTCCCCGTCTCCTTCAACCAGGCCATCGGCGCTACCACCCCCTTTTTCACCGCCATCTTTGCGTTCGTCATCACGTGTAAAAAGGAGTCCGCCGAGGTCTACGGTGCCCTCCTCCCCGTTGTTTTGGGAATCGTGTTGGCCAGCAACAGCGAGCCGCTGTTTCATCTGTTCGGTTTTTTGGTCTGCGTGGGTTCCACCGCCGGCCGGGCGTTGAAATCGGTGGTGCAGGGGATTTTACTCACCTCGGATTCTGAGAAGCTCCACTCCATGAACCTGCTCCTCTACATGGCGCCAATGGCGGCCTGCATCCTCCTCCCCTTCACTCTCTACATCGAGGGCAATGTGGCGGCGGAGACGGTGGAGAAAGCGAGAACCGACCCCTTCATTGTCTTCTTGTTGCTGGGGAACGCCACAGTGGCCTATTTGGTTAACCTGACCAATTTCTTGGTGACCAAGCACACCAGCGCGCTCACACTGCAGGTTCTCGGCAATGCCAAGGCGGCGGTGGCGGCAGTCGTTTCGGTGTTGATATTCCGGAACCCGGTCACGGTTATGGGAATGACGGGGTTTGCGGTGACGATCATGGGGGTGGTGCTTTACAGTGAGGCAAAGAAAAGGTCCAAAATTACAACCCATTGACAGAGACGAGCATAAAGATTGAAATTGAAAGCACAAAAACCGAAAAGGAACCATTCATTTTGACTGCCACAGAAATTCGGGTACGAATTTGTTCAACTTTTTTCTTTCTTACTCAATTGATTTTGTTTTTATTATTGTTTTTTTATCCGTGGAATGAAAAGAGGAGGAAGATTTGGATCAAATGTGAAGTGGGATTGGAATGTATAGGATGGTGGGGAAAAAGAGGAAAAGTATCTGCTTTTTTGAGCTTTAAATTGTTGGTGATAGGGAGGAATATGTAAGTATTTCTCTTTTACTTGACCCTTTTGTGTAACTTTATATGATATGCTGCATTTTGAATTGAGCACATACAAGTATTTTGATGGGAAGGGAAAATTTCTCCTCCAAATCCAAATTGTAAAACATGTTCTCTCTTCTTTTGCCCGTCTATTGATATGAAATTTTAGCTGATTTCTCTTTTGGAAGAATGTTTAGCTTATTCGTTTTGATTTCAGTGTTTCATTGATGTAACCGTATGAACTATCGGTCTAAAAGGAGCAATTCTGCACAAAATGAAGTGCTTGTGTTGCAGGACTAGAAAAAACAAGAGAGTTTTCCAGGGTGTATATTAGATTATTGAGTATCATGATTAGGTGGAACTATAGGGTCTTAGCCTTGCAACCGCCACATATTGGGTTCGAAACTCCCCCCTCTGAATGCTGTAGTGTATCAACATCTAATTCGGTGGCACTATATTTTCTAGGGTTCTGATTGTATCATCTGATGTGATAATTATGTAGAATGAAAACATAATTTTGCTAAATTATTGCTACAATAGTTGCTTTGCCGATGATATCAGAGTCACCATCAGCCTAGAAGGGTTGTGATATTATTATATTTCTTTCCAAAATTATTGAGCTTATTAGGGACACCAATTGGAATAGGAAAACTGTTTGATGAGAAAAACATCTGATTGGCCTTGCTTATTTGACTTTATAGCTACTCAGGTGAAGGATTTTTTAGACTTTGGATCATCTTTCTCTCACTAAAGAAGATGTGTCAACAAGTGATTGGATTTACTGAAATCAACAAGTAGTTGAATTCATGGAAATCCAGGAACAGTCTCCAGATGAGAACACGATAAAGATTTCATGTTGTTACCCACAAGTTTTGGTTAAGAAGTGAATAATTCCTGTTAGGCAAGATTTTCTATGATCCTCTAGAGTATCTGATACTCCAGACTTTTTAACCGTTAGATATTTGATTGAAAACATAAGCATAGAATTTTTGACATAAAGTCCAGAGTATTCTAGCCTTCGGAGTACCATAAGGGTAGTGAAGACATAACAACGTAAGCATTTCAAAGCCCAAATGCTGTCAAATCAAACATGGATTTCAACCAAAAAAAAAAAAAAAAAAAAAAAAAAACTCCGTATTTTTCCTCTTTGAGATGTTGGTATTGGATATGCCGTGCTAGGCTGCCTTATCCGTCTGTCCTAATAGCTTCCACACCTTAAACTTGGTCCTTCCAGGCTTCCATTAACTCCTCTGGGTTCATGGAATGTTCATCCCTCTAAAACCCCCATCTGGTTGGGAATATGTTTGTGTAGATGACTGCCAATTGGCAACTTCCCATTTGCTGCAAATGGACTAGTTGCTTCATTCTTCTGAGCATGTGACTTATGTTTTATCCCATGCCTTTGGTGTCTGATAATGTGGCGTTTTCTGGAAGCAGGCAGCCTTTCAGCATCAAGGAGGTAAGAAATTAGGACAAGCAATCTATTTGCACTTGGTGTTGGTGGATCTGGTGGTTGAAACTTATTTGTCTGGTGCTGGTATCTTCAGTTTATTGTTCTAGTTGAAGGTGTTTTTAGTTCTTTTTGCTGCTCTATAGCATGTTATAGGCTTCATTGCTAGGCTGGTAGTTTATGCGAAATTTAATCGACAATATGTCTTGTAACCATTTGTAATGCATTCTATCGCTCATCACATGACCGAATGTCACGTTACGAAAGATAGACACGAAGGGGATATGCAACTGGGTATAGCTAAGAATATTCTCAAATTTAGAGGTGGGTTGGATTAGTATTATGTGCCAAATGTAACAATCTAAGGAGGAGTATAAAGCTTGCGAGAGAACACTAAGGATTGTATGGTGGGCTATATGAGATGGGGCCTTAAGGATAGGATTGAATTGGCATGAATTGGTTAGGCTTTGAATCCTAGTTCATTGTTTGGTACACAACTGGATTGGACTTAAAAACTTTATTTTATTTTTAAATTTTCATTTATTCAATATCACATATAATTAATCAAAACAAATAAACAAACTTCAAATTTGATAATAAGAAAATCATATGAAGATACATCCATATAGCTATCCAGAAAAGTACTATTTTTGAAACGTAACCACCAAATTAAAATTCAAACCTTAACAAAGTTAAAATTTTGAAAATTCAAACCTGTGGGATAACCAACTTCAAGCATTTTATGCGTACGTATAAAATGTAGCTAGGGAAGTTAAATTACCTACAAAGTAGAAGGAAAATTGAATCTCAACATTTTCTTTAAGAGCAACTCCAGCGTTGATGGGTGCTCGGGGGACAGGCCAGAGAAAAGGAGCCCGAGGCCCTGTGGACCGGCTCCAGCGTGAAGGAGCCCGAGTGGAGGTGGAGGCCCGAGCTCCGGGCCCGTGAAGAATTGCCAGCCCGAGAGCCCCAGTGGATGTGACGTCAGGCTTAACGTCAGCTTGGCATCAGACCTTTTTATATTTTTTTTTCTGTCAGGTGCATGCAACCCACTCGCGCGTGGGGGCGCGTCGCCGACACAATATCAGAAAAAACAGTCACTTTTTCAAATACCGTTGGGAAGCCATGTGGCTTCCCACGGTCCGTTCGATCTTAATGGCTCTTTAACTTGGACCGTTCGATCTCAACGGTAAAAAAAATTAAAAAAATCTTATTTAATATCCACCGTTCGATCTAAGATCAATGGTGGATATTAATATGCTTTATAAATAAAAAAATAAAAGAAAAAATAGTTTTAAAATTAAGAAAAGTTACTATTGTGACACGTGGCACAATCTGGAGTGTTAGAATTCAAATTTTTTTATATCCAACAACAGAGATTAATTAGTTGAATAAAAATTTAAAAAAAAATTGTAAAAAATTAGAAAAAAAATCTGAAATTTTTTTTAAAAAAATTATTTTTACTTTTCTATAAATACCTTCTCATTATCATCTACCTTATCACAAAATTGTAAACAGATTATGACACGTGGCACGACGTGAATGGTTAATAATCTTATTAGAAATCCATCATCAATAATTGTATTTTCGGATAATGACACGTGGCATAACGAGTACGATTAAAAATTTTATTGGAAATCTATCCCCAATAATTGTCTTTTCGGATTTTATGACAAGTGGCGCAACGAGAACGATTAAAAATCTTATCCGAAATTACAAATAAAATTATTTTTTATTATTTAATAATACTTCGGATAATGACACATGGCGCAACAAAAATGATTAAAAATCTTATCTGAAATTACAATTAAAATTATTTTGTATTATTTTATAAATAAATAAAATACTAATATTTTATTGGCTATTGCCAGGGCTATTGAAGTGTAATGGTGGTGATGCAAAAGACGATTACTGTTCATTAAGGGCAGTTACTGTTCATCAGGTGGATTGAATAGTGAATAGCCTAAGGAGAGAGCTCCAACGCTAGAGTTGCTCTAAGCATAGTATTGGGATTCTTTTCTGTATGTACTACTATAACTAACAAAACATTAGCATAGCAAGCTTAGGCCTCCTGTGTGATAATATATAGGTACTAGCTAGCTGAAACTAGATGGCTTGTGCATCTTTCAGCAGGAAGAGCAGGATTGCAGTCGAGGTTTCTCAATGCCCACTCTATATCCCTCCCATTGGCGTATCGGTCGTGCTTGTAGAAAAGCGTTCTTCATGTTGTGGCATATACAGCAGGAGCTCTTTGTGAAGATCACATCGGAGGAGGATTCTCTCCTCTCCTAATCTCTCTTTTCTTCCCTCCTCTCCTACTTGAATCGTTACAGCGAAGCCACGTCAACATCTTTTATTGATTTTTTATATAGAGACAATAAGACAAAATACAAAATGTGAGGGAAGGGAGGAAAGAATCCTACTCTGATCACATCAACCTTCTCTGACGCCAACTCTCACTCTCCATTAACAAAAACCATACGAGGCATCCAACAATTCATGAAATTTCCAGAGAATTCTAAAGCACCATCTCTTGTACCAACATTGAATTGAAAAATTATAGAGCATACAAAATAAAAATCAAATATCCACCAATAATTAACAAATTTAATACCCAAATAAGTACACTTCAGGCTAACTCTGGATCAAATTTTCCGTTACAACCCTAGATTCAGAAAAATCGTAGTACCCATGTTTCAAATTCGAAGAGAGGAGGGAGAAGAGAGAATTACCTTGAACAAAAAAGAGGAAATTGCATAAAGATTGCAAAATCAGATGCTTGTAACAACGGCCGATGATGCTATGACGATTGCGCGACATTGCTCCCAACAGCCCATCCCCGTTGTACAACCAGATCAAAGATGAGCTCGCTGAAATGAAGAAAAAGACAATGCCAAACCGAAGAGAAATCGAAGACCAAACCGAAGAAGATCGCACAACGAAGAACAAGAAGTTGCGCATAGAGGAAGAAGAAAGATCCAGAGACGGGACTTGTAACCCGTATGTGAGGATGGGTTATATAACCTGTCCTATTTTTCCTATTTCGGACTTGTAGCCAATTCAGTATGTGTTACAGTTTTCTCATCAAATATGGGTTGGGTTACAAGTCCAATTTAATTGAAAATAACTCATCCTAGTCCACCAAACAGGGCCTAAAGGGTTTAGGGTTAGAGGTTAAGGGTATAGTAGTATTTTCAAAAGAAAGTGCCTTCATTTCTTTAGGATGCAAATCATACAAAAGGGGTTAGGGTTAGAGGTTAAGGGTATAGTAGTATTTTCAAAAGAAAGTGCCTTCATTTCTTTAGGATGCAAATTATACAAAATGTGGAGAACAATTCATACAAGAACGGGACTTGGCTACTGAAGAATGAGCAGGGGGTGCTGCTGATTCTTTCTTCAGCAGCCAAGTTCTATCCTTCATACAATGAGATTGCAAAATTCACACTTACTAATAGCAGGAAGAAATAAGCAGTTGCTTAAAAACAATGTTATTGAAAAACCAAAAAAACTACGAGACTAATCCGATGGTAAACCCGCGATGAGCCCACGAAAACCCGGATATTGATCATGAGCCAGGTGGGGTAGGGCTAGGAACAAATGACGATGGAAACAGTTATAAGAAGCTTCTGCTTCCTTGATGCACAAAGCTGACCAACACCACAAATGTACCATTATGGCCCTGGGGTTGCAAGGGTGACCGCGTCATTTCCACTAATGAATGGCATTACACTTTTTATCTATTTATATCATCATTTGTATCATATTCCTATTATAGGTAAAGTCTGCAAACGCATGTAAGTCTCATCTCTATTAGAGATACTACAAATGATGGTATAAATAGATAGTAAGAATATCATTTTTGCATTGGCACACTGTTTAATGAAGCTGCACATTGTTGAAACCCATTCACTTTGTAAACATTGTTGGCTCCCTTTCGATACTTAAAAACTGCATAAGATCAAACATCACAATTTATAAATAAACGAAATGGCATAGTGTATAAGAAATTTTCACCAAGCCAAATAATGATTTTGATCCCTCTAGTCTTTGCAAAGTTTAGTTTCCTCGTAGTATCAATTGTCGTGATTTTAATCCTTGAAAAAAAATTTCTTTTTTTAAAGGAGAGACAACTAGTGGCAAGTCACGGTTATTTATCAATTTCAGAGGCCGAAAAGACTCATAGAGGCATTTTAATTCTTGAATTTCAATTACTACTATAATACATGGACCTAAATTGCAACAATTGAAATTATATGGACTAAAGTTGAATATTGCTCAAATAAACTACAAGGAACATAATCATACTTCTGCCTAATTTAATGTATCACATTAGTTTAAAGAAGAGCTTAATGTTTTTCGGTTTACAAGGTTGTCGCCAACATAGAACATCTCTCCCCGAGCCCAAGCTTGGTAATCAAAATCAATGATCCAACCTTGGTCGTCACCGACAACAACATATTTTGTCAAAATTGTAGGGGTAAAGATTGATAGAATGGCAAGGATAACGAAGAGCTGGGAAGAGGCTATCAGGGTTTGTATCAACTATTTCAGTTGCTTAATCTTGTACGTTAATTGTTGGTTTTTATAGGTCAACAATTTCCTTGACCTTCCGGCATTGTAGGCGTCAACAACCATACATGATCTTACGACTTTCTGAAGACTTGCGTTTTTGGTAAATAGTTGCCCGGGCTTGGTCACTATGACTCCCTTTGTGGGGGCCACCTTTTCTTCAAAAATTACGAGGCTATTTTGCTGTGTTCCTTAGATAAAGTCGTCTTGTGCCCCTAGGTATTCTCTACCTACCCACCTGTGTTGGTTTAAGGTACAAGTACCCTTTTGTTGAAGGTTGTTCGAGTTTTTCCTAGGAGTATGACATGGGTTACTTTAGCGCTGTGGCGCCTAGTACAAGAACATTGGCTCAAGGCATTTTCTCCACCCCTTCTCGCCCTCAAAAATCAGGGGCACCCCGCGTCCTTGAGCCAATAACCATTTTTGGGCTAACTTAACCTCCTCTGTCCCCTGGGACCAACAAGGGGTAGTTTTTTTTTTTTTTTTTTTTTTTTTAACAAATATGTGATGATGTTAAGCTGAAAAGTAATATTAGGTAAACTAAATTTGATTATCTAAATGAGTTGCGAAGCTGACAATTTTATAGGGTTGTAGATCGACTTGTCTCCCATGAATTTTTTTTGTAGCATTGGGTCCGTCAACGGACGGCATGAACTGCCTAACGGTACAAAATGATTTGAAAGGCTAGATGCAACATAAAAAACAAATGGTACACCACCCTCTTTTGGAAGATCAATTTGGTTTTTGGTGAAGCTATTCAAACAAGGGGTGTGTTGGTGAAGCTATTCAAACAAGGGTTGTGTTGATAACACATCCTTTTTTACTTCTCCCACACCTTTTTTGTTTTTGGCCATCGGATCGGATGAATTGAAGAAGATCAACGGACATAAATTAATAAGGATGTGTGAGAAATAGAAAGGGGTGTGTGGATAGCACACCCCTTCAAACAATTGGATTCCTTGTGGGACAGGGAAACTTGCTTAAATTTACAGTTGGCCTGTCCTCTAAATTTGGGAATTTTCTTGGTGAAAATAAAATTTTGTAGGGAGGATGTAAGTTAGCTTTACCCAAAATCACAACTAAGCCAATTATAATATAACGGTTTAGGTTGGTTCAGTTCGGATTTGACAAAATTTCCCAAGGAAATTGAATTAAACCAAACCATCGTTCAACGACTTCATTTATTAGTATTATTATTATTATTTAAATTTCATTTCATTTCAAAACAGAGTTACAAAGCCCTACATCAATTATAAAACAGCTTCTTCAAAAAGTAAATCTGAGATGAGGTTCGGAGGTTCCTCAAATCAGTTACACGGCGAACTCGAAGTAGGGCCAAACCGTGCAAGGTACATGAGCAATGTCATTGGCTTAACGACTAACATGAGTAGAATAAGCTCTGGTGATTGAGGACAAAATCTCACGTGAATCCTCAATTAAGAGTCCGACATCAGACAAAAAATTGAAAGAATCATGAAAAGCCGTCACAATCTGGAGAGAGCGACTTCATTTTGTTTGGTTTGAGCGGCTTGGGTCTATACCTAATAATATTTTCTTTTGCATTGTATCAACTTGTTATTTAAATAATAACCAAAACAGAAATCCATAATTTCCTGCATTTTTTTCGTACATCTCAAAGCATCTTAAAATTCGACTGTAGCAAAGCTCATACACAACGGCTAATGAAGGGCGGAATCACATTCATGCGATCAAACATTACATATACAGTAATTTTTTTTTTTTTAGTACATCGATCAGCTATCAAAATCAATATCATTATATAGTTATTAGTCAATTAAAGGATTGTATATGTAAACTAAAATAATATAAAAAATACATAATTTGTTGGTCCGGTTCGATATAGGGCAGATTATAGAAGCTCGAAACCGTAACCAAACCAATTCATTACTGTTCTTGATTTTCAACCGTCTAACTCATTTTTTGGTCAAAACCAAAGATTGTTGCGGCCCGGATCGGCCTGTTCGGTTCGAATAGTGTCGATCGACCCAAGTGGATATATGGCTTGCTAGGCTGTTCTTGATTGTTAAGTTGTCTTGTCTACCTTAACTTTTTGGGGTTCATAGAAGCATGGATGGTTTAACCAGCCAAAAATTTATCTAGTAACCAGTTGTATATCTTTTTATCTCTTGTTATGCGACCAAACTTGCGTGATGAAAATAGATAAAAGAGATAAATAATCATGGATCGCTAAGATTAATCTCCACTTCAAATGTGAGTCAAATTAGTATTACGTGCCAAAAGTGAAGATTGAACTGGATCCAAGTAGTTTATCATAGGAAGTGTGTTTCAACTTTCGTTAAGATGCAAATTACACAAACTGTGGAGAACAATTCATACATCGTTTGTAGTATCACAAACAGATTGCAAAACGCACTTATTAATAATTGGAAAAATCACCTACTCAGTAACAATGTAACTAGTAAAAAGACTAGGATACTAATAATGGGGTTAACCCACGACAAATGTCGGTATTAATCGTGAGATACCCATGTCTTTATTCCAAGCTAACACTTCTAGTTGCTGTATCCCCAGGTGGGACTAGGACTGGGAGCAGAAAACTTCCGGTCGCTCTTTTCAGAGGTGGGGCTAGGGCTAGGAGCAAAGGATGATGGAAACACAGTTATAGCAAGCTTCTGGCCGGCATCTAAACAATGCCGCGAAACACCGCAAATGTACCATTTTCTTCCGGAGGTTGCAAGGTTGATCACATCCTTTCCACTTGTTAATGGCACAGAGTCTAATGGAGCTGAACATTCTTGAAAGCCAGTGCCATTCACTTTGTACACGTTGTGAACTCCTTTTGGATAGTTAAAAACTGCATAAGATCAAGGATCACAAAATAATGGATGAGTAATGAAATGATATACAAGAATTCTGACGATTATTTAAACTACATGGACTTAAATCGTAACAATTGAAACTACATGGACTAAAGTTGAACTTCACTAAAACTACAAACACCGTAATAATACTTAGGTTATGTTTTATAAATTTACCAAGGTTGTCGCCAACAAAGAGCATCTTGCCCTGAGCCCAAGCTTGGTAATCGAAATTAATTGTCCACCCTTTGTCGTCACCAACAACATAATCTGTGGCCAAAATCGAAGGCGCAAAAGTTGCGAGAACAGCAAGGATTATGAAGAGCCAGGAAGAAATCATCACAACTAGTATTGAGTTACTTTTAGGTTTACTTTGTGAAGTTGGTTGTGTTGAGAGGATGAGATCAATTGATTTGGTTGCCCAAATCAATTGAAAAGTTGAATATTTATAGGGAACTAGATCGACTTGAGATCAATGGAAGTTCGTAGAGTACTTTAGTCAAGCATTGGTTCTACCTACGGACGGCATTGCCCTGCCGAATGATTCAGAAGAATTTGATAGTTAAGTACAACATATATAAACAAATGACACATAACCCTCTAGAAAATCAAGTTTGTTTTTGTTGGAGACGTTTTCAAAAATTGGATTCTTTGTGTGACCAGGAACCTTCGATGCATCAGGTGGTCTGCCCTATGGATTTGGGATTTCTAGACCGTTTGGTGAAAGCAAAATTTGTAAGGTGTTTGATATTTTTCTTCACTTATAAGTGAGAGGTCTTAGGTTTGATTCTCGCCAAAGGCGAAGTTGAACCACATTATTATGACAAGCTAATTGTAAGGCTTAGCCACCCAAACTGACAACTAGCCACCCGAACACCCAAGACAAGTAACCACCCAAACTGACAAAAAATTATCGTAAAATCTCAGTTTCTAACCCAAAAATTGTTGCATCTCCGGCATAGATGGAGCCTTTAACACAGACCCGAATAAATGTCCCTTGGGCATTCACATAGACCCAAAATTAGTTAGCAGTGGATATACTCTGTTAAGCTTTCCTTCTCGTCTATAGTTGTTTTGGCTGTTGTAATAGCAGGCACACCTTAATATTTTTGGGGTTCATTGAAGGTTTATCCCACTAAAAGCTCCACCATGTTTGGTACCGTGGATCTGGCGAACTATATTTGGTCGGACTAAGTGATTTTACCCAACGAAGCTTCCAAAATGGTTGGGCAAAGCTAGTCAATATTTAGGGTTTTCCCAAAGATTTTGCGTGATGAAATTCGAGGGTAAGAACAAAATCGTTGTGTAAACATTTGGGCCAAAGGGAAAAAAATGGCCTGTATTTTGTAAAGGTTTGCCCGGCAAAATATATGTTCATCAACTTGAGGTCCTTTACCTAATTGCACATTTCGTGGAGTAAAGTGTAAACACGCTGTTGGATAAAGGTCCACAATGACCTGTAAAAAAATCACCAGCAAATATTTTGCTCGACGTCTTTTGTATGTTTGCTCGACAAAATAGTTTGTCAAGCAAACCCCTATCCATTAAAAAGGTCCATGCCTTCTTCTTTCTCCCCTCTCCTTTCTGTTCTTCTTTCTTCCCCAACGTTGTTGCTTTCTCTTCCTCTGCAAAATTTGTCTCTCTCACTCACACCCTCTCTTCTATCTCTCTCTCTCCCAATTAATTGTATAATTAATTAATTTTAATTGTTGTAGGTTTGTGATTGGATTGGAAGAATTAAAGGAAAGGTATTTATCTGTTTCTTAATTATAAATTAGTAAGTTTCAATTATTTAATTGTGATATATATGTATGTGAAAATTGTGAGTCATGTGAAATTTGAGTTTATGTCTTATTGAAATATATGTTGCTTATGAGAAATTAATTTTTGTAGCATTAGCCTAGGAAATTGTGAGTTAAGTGAAATTTTGAGTTTGTGTGTTATTGATTAACTTCGTATAATAAATTCGAAAAAACCTTGACCCATTTAAGAGTCTGTTGGATGTGCGATTAGACTGTAAGTGCATACTATATATTTGTTTATGATACCTACATCGTGTACTTAGGGAAGCCTAGGGAGATGTCGTCACATTTTTTGCGATCAGAAATAGTCGTGTGAATAGCAAATCACAACACAGAAAGTGACTTTCGAATGGAATAGGATCATTACTGAAGGCATAAGAGGGTGATCAAGCGTACATCGAATTATTATGAGAACTAAATTCTATGAAAACAGACACAATGACAAATAGTGGATAAAGTTGCAAGATAGAAGTTGTGAGCAATATGTGGATGGGATCAACAAGTTTATTCAATTTGCAAGCAATCATGTCAGTCCTCACAATTGTGTATTATTTTATAGTGGATTCAAGAAGCTAGATACTTGTCTCAAGTGTAATGAGTCGAGATATCAAAAGAACAAGATTTCAAACAAGGTGCTACATTATTTTCCACTTAAGCCAAGACTAAAGAGATTGCACATGTCGACCCACACTACAAATGATATGAAGTGGCATAAGGAGGAACTGATTGATGATGATGTGTTGTGTCATCTTGCAAATGGCAAAGCATGGAAATATTTGATAAAATTTATCCTACTTTTTTTGTAGAGCCAAGAAATGTCAAATTAGGATTTGATTCTGATGGTTTCAATACATTTAAGGAATTTTTCGCATAAGCACATCACTTGGGTTGTAGTCGTTCTTCCTTATAATTTGCCCCTTGTAGGTGCATGAAGAAGGAATTTATGATCATGAATCTTTTAATACCCATGCGCAGGTCACCTGATGACTCCATTGATGTTTATTTGTGACTGTTGACTGATGAATTAATAGATTTATGAAAAAATGGTGTACAAACGTATGAAAAGTCAATTGGGGAAATCACTCTGCGAGCCAAAGTTATTTGGACAAAAACTGATTGTTTTTTCTTGTGATTACATGTGAATTCGTAAACAAAAACTATAATTAAGCATAAACCAAAGAACAAGTCAAACTTCCATCCATGTTTGTAACTTTCTTTAATAGTTATGCAATTAAAAACCAAATCTTTATCATTGTGTTGGAAGGTACCCTAAGACACAAACAAACAACAAAAATGGTGTGACATACGTTTGGAGTCATCAGGTGACCTGCGATATACTTTTGGAGTTATTTGGACAACTGATGAATTAATAGATTTATATACGTTTGGAGTCATCAGGTGACCCAATTCAGCCATAATCCATCCTTTACCGCAAATCCCTACACCATTCATCATGCGATTGATTTATTAAAGTACTAAAATAACTAAGAACTATTTAAATAAATGCAAGGAATTAAACTAACAAAGTCGCATAAATATGCTCCTATCAAATTCCCCCACACTTAGCTTTTGCTAGTCATCAAGCAAAACAAAACAAACAAAACACAATCTAAACCTTCCAACAATTGCTTTAGGGATTTCCAATGCACATGACATATTAAAAATCACTACTCCCACAGATATTAGCTCTTTTTACACTTGAGCAAACACTTAACCACAGTCACCACTTACTAGCTCGCATTTAATCAACTAAAACAACATTTTGAATGTAGTAACATGCCTTAGAGAATTCATTCAATTCCTCAATAAATATACTCTCTATTTTCACACAAATTTTCTGACTACACTCCCTATACTAAGTATATGTGAGAAGATTGATGTAAACATGTAGACTAACACTCACATATGTTATAACAAAGAAAGCAATTTCTGGAATTATGAATATGAACATGTATATGATCTCATGAACGGAATGCTACTACTTAGAACGAGAACCAGGGATTTCATATGCTCATACCAATTTCAAACTCCACATATTGAAACACATAACAATCAAGATAGAAGTCTAAAGATTGTAACGGGATTAGGGTATTGGCTAACAAAGAAAGGTAAGGAAAAACAAAGGTTCTTAAAGCAATAATAAGCAAAGTAATGAAATAAACACTTAGAATTCACTTTTGATGGCAAAAACTAACTTTTAAAAACCCAAGGGGAAAGATTCGCACAATACTTAGGGTCAAATTCAAACTTTTGGACCCTTTCTTGAACAACCAATACTTGTGAGTGTTGGAAATATGCCCTGAAAGTCAATCTTTGGAAGAAACCTTTCAGGACAATGTAATGATATATATATGACTCTTATACATCGGAAGGCAAAGATACTAATTAGGACTATCTCAATGAACGAAATATGTCCTAAATGATGAATCCATGGACAATGGATTGATGGAAGAAGTAATCTAATGATGATTATGAAGGAAGATTTGTGAAAAACAAGTTCATTTGAGCAACATCAACAACATGCAATTAACAATTAAAAGACGGAATCATGTTTATATGCACTCAAAAACAAAACTTAACCCATGAACTTCAAAGCCTAGTAGATAGGTGAACCAAGAGTCAACTCAAAACAAAGTGAGTTGAGAAATCAATACCTTTGTAGATTCCTCTTTGCATAAGCAAAGGCTAATCACCCAAAGAGAGGGCCTTCATTCCTTGCATCTTAGATCCATGGATTTGGATGGATGAAAAGGTTTCTCCAAGTTCCCAAAATTGAGAACCTCTAAGTCTCCACACCAAGGCATATTGTAGAAGAAATGAGTGGCCTTGAGGAAGTAAGATTGCTAGATGTTTTCCTCAAGGGTGGCCGGCCTCTTTTAGAGCAAAGGGAGGTTTGTGTTCTCATCTTTACTCCTAAGAAAACCCTAAGGATGAAATGGCTATAAAGATGTCTTTATACCACCTCACAATGGAGTGGCAAACTTGCAATTAAGCCAAGTTCACTACCCTCCTCTAAATGGCCGGCCATATGGGATTTATTGGGCTATTTGGGCCTTTGTGAATCATTATTCATTAAGTTGTCATACAACTTAAGTCAATGGACTTGACGTTCGAAGCCCATTGGGCCTTAAGGTCCAAAACTATCCCGAGGTCTTTTAACGAACTTATTCGTTTGATTAATAATCATATTAATTAATCCTTGCCATAAACAATTAAACCATTTAATTATTCTTACTCATCTCCGTTGAATCTTCAATCTCTACCTTACACGGTGTACGATCCATTAGGTTCCTTTTAGCGAGGCAGTGGGCGATTCAAACTCTTTCAAATCGATTGTGAATTGAAACTTACTTTCAATTCTCCCGTTAGTGATAATACACTTTTAGGGCTTCCACAAACCATGGTTGACGCCTAGCAACATGTCATGGTTACCCAAGCTAATCAGAAGAGGTGGAGAACCTATTCAGTTTTAGGATTACAAATGCAATACGGTCTTTCTCTAATACAATACTCTTGACCACATTGTTTGGTTTGATAG